TGCGGCGATTGAAGAGCAGGACGCCCTTGGAGCTGGGGCCGGGCGCCGTGGTGAGCTGTGCCGCGATCCTCTGGCTCCGCGCCTTCGCCTCCTTCAGCTCCTTCTCGGAGAGGCTGGCACTGCGGGAGAGACCTGGGGAGAGGGGAGAGGGGGGTTAGGGGGGCTCGGCAGGGGTGCGGGATCCCAGCCCTCCCCATCCATGACCAGCAGCCCTTCCTCAAGGTATTCCTTGGCATCCCAAACCCTTCCCCGACACCTGGGGGAAGGCAGGAGGGATGCTGAGGGGCTGGGGTGCGTGGGGGGGATATCGTAGTCCAGGGCTGATGGGGACCCAGCGCGGCCCCTGCCGAGATGCTGAGCTGCAGCTCTGAACGCTGGGGGACAGACGGCAAACACGTAGGGGACACCCAGGGGCACTCAAGGCCTTTCCTCCTGTCCCACAGCGGTGACCATATGGGAATGGAATTTCTCCAAGGGCATTGGCAGGTCTCAGGTTGCAGCTCACATGGTTTTGGCCACCAGCTGGAAGAGGCAGTGGGCAAGGAAGGGGCCAGTGTGTGTGCCCCATCCCCTCGCCCCAAATCCCAGCACGCTCAGCCCTGAGTGGACAGGAAAGCAAACCCAGCGACAGAGGGGAGATGCTGGCCCGCCATAACCTCATGGCAAAGCCGGTGGCCAGCCCCATCTGGGGACTGATTTATGGAGCAACACGAGATGGCAGCAGCCGACAGAAACCGTACCGATCCCAACCCGACGGACACAGACACAGCCCGCAGCAAGGCACCAGCCTCATGCCTTGGGAGCCTCCACAAGTGCTCAAAGCAAAGTGCTAAAAGCCCAGCAAAAGCCTCGTGGTGAGTGGCCGGAGTGCCGCTGGGCTTCTCATGTGCTGGCCCAAAGGTCAGGGCGCCAGCCCCTTCCCGAAGGCCAGGAGGTTGTGGAGCTGCCGGGAACGCATTTTGTTGGGGTGAGCAATTTCCTACGAGCACACCCTGAGGCGCCCGTGGGAAGGGCAGCGTCCCCAGCCCCGCCAAGGCCACTGCTTGGGGACAGACACCCGTGCGGAGCATCGGCATCACCCCAGCACCCACCAAGGGTGCAGCCCCTGCCCCAAAGGTGCTGCCAGGGCGGCCAGGGCCACCCGCCCCAAGCCACGCTCCTCTGGGTGCCGACAGTACCCGCTCCCCTTCCCTTCCCTTCCCATCTCTTCCTTCATGTGTTTCTCATTTTCTTGCCTTCTGTGCTGCTTGGGAGCCTTCCAGGATATTTTCAGCAGTGGCTCAGCCTACCAGCGAGGGAAGGGATGAATGACTAAGCCAAATCCTTCCAGCGAGCCCACGGTGAAGCAAGAGGGTTGCTGCAAGCTGGGCATCTCCTCTTCCTCACCCTTCATCCCTCCCACCTCCCTCAGCACCCAGCAAGTCCCTGCCCTGGCTCCAGCACCGCCAAGGCATGCAGGATGGCCCTGCCCCCCCGGAGGGGCTGGAGAGGAGGAGGAGGAGGAGGAGGGTGGATGAAGCCTTCAGGCTGCCTGACAGGAGGGTTTTGGCCAGGCATGGGGGAGAGGAGGCAGAGATGCCAGTGGAAACTCTCTCCTGCAGATGAGGAGCCCGTCCACAGCAGCGACGCCGGCGGCCAACATCTCCCCCGGTTAGCGCCCGGCATTGTTTAACGCCCTATTTCTATTTGCTTTGGCGGCGGCACAGAGCGGGGCCGCGGTTTCCTCCGGCCGGGCTGGCTGGAGGGCGGCCAATAACAGCCAGGGAGCCATTGAGAAATAAGCCACAGGCTCCAGATGTCTGCAAAATTCATGCTCCAAGCTGAGCATCCCTGCTTCCTCGGAGGCCGAGGCCGCCTAAGAAGCCGAGCTCTCGGCGGAGCCATTTCGCAGCCTCTCGCTCTTGCTACTGCCTTTTAACAGCAACCGAGGGGCCTTGGAGGATCTCCTCTGTGCTGGAAGGATGACTCAGCTCTTGGCCAGCCTGTTCCTGCTTGGACTAGCCACCGGATACACTCCTGCATAGCTGGGACCAGCACCGGGATTTGTCCCCCAGGATTTTGCCCCCAGGTATCCCCATCCCTCGCTGCCGCCCTGGGCACAGGCATCCCTCAGGGCCAGGGGGTGCTGCCAGGTGGGAGCCCCCCCCCCAAAATCCCCTGCCAGGCATCTGCTCCCATCATTGCTTTGCAGCCCCCCAATCCCCTATGTGCTTCCAGCAGCCCCTCTGCCCCTGCCCACCCAGTACCTGCCATTCCTGGGCTGCTCCGCCCGAACGCACTGGAAATGAATCCCTCAGGGTACTAATGGGGATGATGGGGAGGGTAAGAATTGCTCTTCACATCCAATTTTTATCGCATGGATGGAGAGCACTGAAGCCTCCAGCAGGCCGGAGGAAAGTGCAGAGAACAACGCTGTACACTGCCCTGCTTGCACAGCCACACACAGCCCAGTGGATGGACGGACAGACGGACCCTGCAGCGCAGCTCTGCAGGCACCGCTGCAAATGTGGCTCATCATGGCTCAACCCAGGGTGACATCCCGTCCCCAGCCAAAGGGCAGGGACCACCTCCCTCCCGCCTCCCCTCCAGCCTGAGCCATACGATGAGGTTATTCGACCTGGTGCCAGAGCCTTCAGCCATCTGCTGGGGTGGCTGGAAGGGTCCCCATCACCCGGGGAGGGTCCTGCATCCCTCACTCCGCTCCCAGCCGCAGGGACCATCCCTTCATCCTTCCCCGACATACCCTGCCAGCCGGGGAGCCTCGGGTGGGCTCTGTCTGGGTGCTTCCCCCGGCCCCAGGCAGGTGGGAGCAGCTCAATGTGCTGGAAATGTCCAGGTGCTGGGGAGGAGGAGGAGGGGAGCTGGGCTGAAGGCAGCCCCACTGGTGGAGGGAGGAGGTGAAAGCAAAACTACGGGCAGCCGAGGGCGCCTGGGGTTCCACGGCATGTAAACTGGCTTCCGCCCATTAACGGGAGTCCAGTCCAAAATCCAAAGGGTGACCGGCAATCCTCGCGCTCTTCCACTCTTCCTTCCTTCCTTCCCACGCCGCACACCGGCTCACCACCACGCTGCCCTTCGGGAAGGAAACGTCTCCCCTCTCCAAATGTCCCAGCTTCTTCCAAGAACAATGAATCCAGCCCCGCCAGCCCCCTGGGCTGCCACAGCCCCCAGGCTGGGGGGTCCCCTGGCAGCCCCCAGCCCTGCGCTCCAGGGATGCCGGGGAAGGAGATGCTCCCTCTGCCCCACAGGATCGCTGGACTCCTGGTGCACGTGAGCAGCCGGCCAACAGCACCCGAGTGCTATTTCGGTGCGAGACACTTCAGCTCCAGCCAGAGGAGCCTATAGATCTCTATCTATATATTTATATAGGCACTTGCTCCGTAGGTTTCCTGTTGCTCCAGGGGTTACTTCCAGCAACATCCCCCATGTGCGGGCTTAACAGCTTCTCACCGAGCTGTCAGTCATCCTTCCCGCAGCACGTACTGTGCTCTCTCCTCCAGAGTGAGGATGACGAGGGTGATGAAAGGCATTTTTGTTGCTTTCCCCTCCTGGCCAGATGGGAAAAAAAAATTTCCTTCCAGCTCAGCTTTCCGTGCAAAGGATGGGTCCCCCCCGCACAGCGCTACTGCAGAGTGTCTGAAGTCCAGCCAGCAAAGTCTGGAGTCACCATCTGACCCCAAATGATGGTGAAGGATGTATCAGACCCTGCCTGTGGCCCACCCTACCCTGGCAGCGACTCCAAAAGCTGGAATTAGATGAAGATTTGGCTCCAAACTGCAGGGAGGGGAGACACCCCGGGGCTCTCTGAGCTGACAGATTCAGTTGCTGGTCTTGATGTGGCCAGGATATCACATGAAGAAAACCAGTGATGTGGAAGCTGCCACCTTGCAGGTCTGGGTGGCTGCAAGCACCGGGCACGACAGTGAGAAGTCCTTGTACAGAGAAGCCAAGAGCTATCAGAGTCCCGGTGGAGTCAGCAGGTTACAACAGGCCATGTGAAATCTTGGACTCAAGGCTGTTGGCTGACTCCAAAATCTACCCCTAGCCTGCTCCTGGTTTGGATGCTCGGCCATCCCAACGCTGCAGCCCACCTTGGCCAGCTGGCAGGAGGATGCTCGGGATGTCCCACTCGACCACCCACTGGCCCCAGGACTGTCCCGGGGCCAGGCAGAGCACGGACCAGAAACCTCAACTCCACCATTGTACAGCGCAGCAGCCGCCATCCGTGACCAGCAGGCGCTTTTCCCTCTTTCCAAACATTTCTTGGGCTGCTATGGGTCAACCCAAACTGTGCCTCCTGCTGGCAAAATCCCACTGGCAAAACCAAGAATTAAACCAAGACAAACCCCATCTCCAGAGGGACACACGCCGCCGCCGCACCACCTCCCTGCCACATCTACAGCCGGGCAGTGCTGGGGAGGGGGAATCCAGTGCTTTCACCCAAACATTGAGGGCTTTGGACACCGAGGAAATGTAAGCAGGTTTTTTGGCAGAGAAGCCAACTGGCCTTTTGCCCCAACTACAGCTGTGCAGGATTTTTTGCAACGCACACTAACTCGCACACATTTAAGGCTGCACTTCCCTCCAGCTCCCAGAGTTATCCCAAATAATCTGCTGCTAGGAAAACAAGGAGGGTAGCACAGACAGGCAGTCAAGCTGGCTAGAAGCAGATATGATTCAAACAGGCATAAAAATATGACAATTTTCTGCCTTGTTCCCAGCTTCCAACCCTCTTATACCCCAGATATAAAACCTCCACCAAGTTTTTATCTATGTTGGCCCCACAGATCCGAAAATCCCAGGCTCAAGCGGTGGGTGCCGTGGTGGGAGCAACCTCGCCTGCCTGGCAGGGCGCACGGTGCTGGGCCTCTCCTCTCGGGTGCCTTTGCCAGTGACAAAATCTGGCACAGTGAGAAAATTCGATGCGCTTGCAAGTTTTCTCTGAGCTCTGTTCACAAGAGCTTTGCTGGATTTGGAGCTGTTTGCCTCCCAACCCTCCTCCCGGCTCGCAGCCGTGCCTCAGCCTCGCCTGGTGCTCAGCACCCAAATCCTGCCGAAAATGGACCCACAGTCTCCAAGCACCAAGCCCTGGGGCACTCATCTGCCATGTGGAGGGAGAAGGAAAAGGGGCTGGGGGGACTTTAAAGGGGCACTTTAATAGGGACTGGCTGCCCCTGCCCCAGCCCCGCTTTCCCAGGGCACGCTAAGCCGAGGGGATGCAGCGAGCAGCCCCAGCCCTGCGTGCATCTGCGCTGGCGAAGAAGAGACTGTTGCTGCCCCAAAAGTGGAGGCAGCACCTTCCCCCAGCCAGACAAAATTAAGCTTTTAGCTTTGCAAAAGGAGGCTGGAGCCAGGCAGACCTCCTCCAGGCTGCCGGGCCATCCATCCGCCCGGCACGCAGCAGAGCCAGCCCATCCCATGGCTGGGTACCACGGGGACCCCCTCCCGCCTGGCAGGTGAGTCCCAGCCCCTCTACACCCATCGGTGTGTGGACTCGCCATGGCACATCCTGGAGTGCTGGGACCCTGGTGACAGCCCCGCCGGGCTGGTGCCATGAGCCGAGGTGCTGGCCTTGTGAGAGAAGGTCATCTGGCTCAGCTTGGCCCTGTCGGATGGACGGAGCGGGGAGGGGAGCGGGACGAAATGGGGCCTTTGCCTGTCCCTTGCACAATCCGTAAGGGATCCATCCCGCTGGCTGCCAAGCTGGAGGGACAGTGCTCGTGTCCCCAGCACGGGGTGGCATGGCCAGGAGAGGGGACACGTCCCTGCTGGGGGGGGACAGGGGACATTGCCTGGGAAGACACTCTGCAGAGCTGGGAGGTATGACCCTGCCGAGCCCCGGGGGGGACCCCCACGTCCCCCCACGCCCCCTCGCTTCCCCCTGCTGTGCCTCCCACGCCCCGGTCCGGACCCCCGG